AAACGAGTCGCCCAATAATCCTGGGAGAAGTTCAGAAAATCGAGAGTCAGAAGTCCACGGAAATCGAGCGAGTTGGTTCAACAACCATTGCAACTTTTCAGAAGACCACAATAGAGTCATGATGGAAGCCCGCTCGGAAAGTAAGACACCAAACGAAACATTAACAACCTCAACCAAATGAACATCAAACATGTCCTGAACATCAGCTACCGTCAGAACGAGAAAGAGCATGTCAGGGGCATCAGCGACATTCGGAACGAGAAAGAGTATGTCAGGAAGATCAGCGACGTTCGGAACGAAACAGAGCATGCCAAGAACTCCTGCGACCCCCCGAACTGGACAGAGCACATCAGAACTCGGAGAGTTTCGGGGAGTCTTGGGAAATGATATGCTTGGGACCTCTCGTTGAGAACACATGTTTGCCGTGAATTTCGAGGTTTCGGAAAGATCACATCCGACATCCTGCCCTCCGCCTCCAGAGCCATTTGTGTCAAGTACGCGCTCCGGGAGAAGCTTTCAATATGAGCAGCCCTCACGGGTCTGGAGAAACCGCCGAGAGTCGAGATCTTGGACGAGGAGTTAGAGAAATGGGATTTGGTACCGCCGCTCGTCGCGGAGGAGTCTCGTTGCTCGGGGCAACAGTCGGCATGCTGCAGCCAGCCAGGAGCCGGTGGAATACTACGACGACCTGTGGAGTCAGGCGATGGAGCTGTATGCAGTGATGGACCCGGACACCATCGAGGAGCAGATGGAGGCATCAACACGTCAAGCAGCACGAGACGGTCTACTGGCCGAAGCAGCGCGTCGAGCTCGAGCAGGAACGTTACTGCCGTCGTGGTACCACCTGCTCGAAGAGGTGGAGGTCGCCTGGTCCAAGGATCAAAGGAAAAGCCTACAGATGGACGCCGAGATCAGGGAGATGCCGCAAGTGGCCAGAACGAAGAAGCGATCGACCGAACAGCCAGTCATGAAAGAGAAGTTCGCAGAGCCGACGGAACACCCATCAGCAAATAGGCCGAGTCCCTCGTCAATATCGACAACGACAACATCGAATACACCCTTCAAAGAAGATGCCGACCGGAGAAGCCTACGACGTCGAAATGGAGAGCGAGAAGATGCTGAGCCACAACCTGACGAAACACAACAAAGCGGACGATCCCAAGAATTCGGGGAAGGAAACAGGACCCACGGGAGCGAATCGCTGGCAAAGGCTGGTGCTTCGGATCCAATCCCGTCCTTGATGGCATGCTCACGGACAGCTCATGAAGTATTCGAAGAAAGGGTGCCCCAAGCGGTTCATGGCGGCGAAAGGGTTCGGGAGTCACATCGGCCACTGGGGTTGGTGGGAGATCGCCTATGAGTGGTGAAGGACCTACCTCAGAGAGTACGACATCGAGCCCTACAAGCAGCCAACATCCTCGACAATGACAAGATCAACAAGCTCAAGGCCATGGCTAGAAGCCACCGGATCGACCTGCTGGAGATCTGCGTACCGCCCGACAGGGGCCTAAGCACTGAGGTGGAGAACATGGGCGGCAAGACTAATCGCATGGGACTGTTCAACCTGTTCGACTTCAGCAAGAAGAATGCGGTCATCAAGGCAAAGGAGCAGATCAAGGTGGACAGACCGAGATGGGCACACGCATCACCACCATGTACGCCGTTCTCAGCCCTATTGAACGGAAGACCCAACACGGTGGAGTCTCAGGAGCGGCTGGTGAAGCTAAGGAAGTGGGGCAGACGAGTGACGAGGAACGTCATGGAGGTGCTACTGCAGTCCTGGAAGGAGTTTGGCACGGAGATCTCTCCCGAACACCCACTCAAAGCAAGCTCGTTGAGGAGCACACTGGAGTTGTTCGAGATGTGGCAGCAGCTTCACGATACCATCACGTACGGATGTGGCTGGGGCATGAGGAGCAAGGTCACAGGAGATCTCATCAGGAAAGGATGGACAATGATCACCACCAGCCAACGACTTGCTGATCGACTTAGGAGGAGATGATCGACTTAGGAGGAGATGCACGCGAGACCACATGCACACCGTGATCGAGACAGGGACTGTAGACGTGGGAGAGACGGCGAAGTATCCGAAGGCGATGTGCAAGAAGTGGGCAGCCACCATCATGGAGGATGGCAGCGACGACTTCTTCGAGCTGCAGAAGGCCGTGGTGACAGAACAGGGTGGCATCTTCAAGAATGAGGAGTCCGAGGAGATAATGAAGGACATGGAGCCGAAGACGGTCGAGTTGGTCAAAAAGGAGCTGATGATCATACACGCCAACATGAATCACATGGGAGTCAACGCCATTCGAGCTTACTTCCCGCGGAAAGGAGCTCAGCCCTGGGTCATCACGCTCGCTGGGGAGCTCAAGTGCAGTATCTGCGAAGCTACCACTCGTCGTCACCCCATGCCAGCTGCTGCTGGAACCGAGGCAAAACCACTGGATGCTCTGCAGATGGATGGTTTTGATTGGATTCACCCAGTCACCGAGACTTGAGCCACGGGCACGCTGATGGTAGACGAAGGGTCCGCCGAGGCAATCCCGGTGATTCACCACACAGCACCGAACAAGGGCAACACAAGAGAGACTTCAGCAACCAGTCTGGGAGACGTTCGTGAACCAAGGGACGAGATCCTGCGGAAGACCACTCCAGACACGGACAGGCCCAGCTGGAGCATACCGCTCGAAGATACTTCACGAATGGGCTTCGAATCGTGGGTTCTACTGTGAAGTGGGACCCGCTGAAGCTCACTCGAAGCATGGGAGAATGGAAATGACAATCAACCTGCTCAAGGTCGCCGCGACGAGGATGGCCAACATGGACCCGGAGAGCCCAATTCCGGAGATTCTCAGTTGGTGTGCAGCAGCTCACGCTGAGATGTTTTGTGTCTCGGGAGCTTCTCCCGATCAAGTGCTATTCGGACATCAACTACGGCCTCTGGATTCACGACTGACTGGTTCAGTGGTACAGCTGCAGGCTGAGACGGCGAAGGGCACCACCGCTGAGATCATGATGAAGAGGAGGATGCATGCCAGGAAGGCGTTCGCAGAAGCTCTGGCTGATCGTCAAAGTCGTCTGGCAGCCATCTCCAAGACCAGAAAATTCACAAACTGGGTGACGGGAGAACTGGTATTCGTATGGGTGGAACCTGGGAGCTGGAGTGATCCGGTGAAGAAGTCGAAGGGCGAGTTCATGGGACCAGCCCTCGAGGTCAACCAGCTCTACAAGCACAAGAAGGGCGAGGCCCCCCCCCGGAACCTGGTGCTGATCCACTTCAACAATCAGCTGGTTCTGAGCATCCCACAGCAGCTTCGAGCAGCCTCGGAGCACGAGAGGGCGTCGTATTCGGTCCTCCATGAGTCCAAACCACTGGAACGACAGCCAACGATGGAAGCGCTGGACATCGGAGCCAAATACTGGGACCTCAGCCATCAGTCAGCACCCGCAGGAGCAGACCATGATCGAGACGAGCGAGGAGTACAGCCCATGAACCGGAAGAGCATCCTGAAACCCGAAGGCAGAGGAGACGGTGACGAAGAGATGGCAGGATCTTGAGATGACGGCAGAGGAGGCGGTGATGAAGAGATGGCAGGACCTCGAGATGAAGGTGGTGAAGCAGGACCTGCACCTGGAGAAGAAGAGCTCAGCCCCGAGCTCCTCAGGCGGCTGGCGGAGGATTCCGATCCCGAGCAAGGTGAAGGATCAGAGCCAGACAAAAAAGTGCCGCCAAGATCAAGGACAGCATCCGAAGTACCGATGCCGGATGCACCTATCCCACAAGGAACGCCTCAACCCGAAGAGCGACCCGCGGCAGCCAGCCCCACGACGCAACGCAACCTGAGAACCAATCCGCTTCCCGACGACGTGCCGATCGCCATCAAGAAGCACATCGCAGAGAGGGACGACCCTGGAGACCCACAGGACCCACCGCTGGAGAAGAAGGCCAGAACCACAGAGGAGCTGGGCGTGTCGGAGGTCGTTGCTACGATGGAAGAAGATACAGAGCTGTGCATTGCCAAGCTGGTGCTGGAAGTCGACATCCTAGCAACTTTCAACGAGAAGCCGAAGCAAGTACTCAGGCAAGCCGTGAAATCAACGTGCGGAAGTCTACGCCAAAGGTGAAAGCCAAGATCGCAGAGGCAAAGATGGTGGAAGTGAACAACTGGATGCGCAAAGATGTGTGTCAAGCTGCCCTTAGACAAGCTGGACTCAAGCCCATAAAGATGATGTGGCATCTCATCATGAAGGACGACGGCAAGGTCAAGGTCAGACTGATTCTTCTGCTGGGTTTCCAAGACCCGAAACTGGCCACGATAGATAAGCCAGAGGCAGGAACCTTGCTCTGCAGATGATGGTTAACAAGAGACTCCGCATCTACAAGGGTGATGTCAAGTCAGCCTTCTTACAAGGGGATCCCACTCAAGCTAAGCAAAACCTCTGAATAGAACTGGTTCCAGAACTGCGAGAAGCCCTATAACCATGATACGAGGAATGCGTAAAAATGCTGAAGGCAGCCTACGGCCTGGTGACGCTCCCAAGGAGTGGCACGAGAACGTGGCAAGCGATCTCAGAGCACTTGGATACGTTGCCATGACGCATCGAGAACAGGTGATGCCAATCATATGGATAGGGAGCTGTTTCAAGCTGGTGACCAGCATCAGGAGGAGCAGGAAGAGAAGACGAAGCCAGGACGATGACCGATTCGGGTGAGGATAACTCGAGAATCTCTGAATTCCGGCGGCTCTGGAGATATCCCAGGCGCCGCGGCCTTCTCAGAGCGTTCCGGAACGATCTGAAGAGCGTTCTGGAACGTTCTGGGACGGATTTATCCTCGTCCCAGCCCCGTCCGAAAAGAGGAAGGGCAACTAGGAGGAGCGGAAAAAACTTTCCCGCGGAGGATGTGCGAATGTAGAAACCCACACTCAACTCGACTCGCCATGAACCACGGAGCATTATTGGGCCTCGCACGCTTCTGGGCAACCGCCCTCCCTCGTCGCCAGAAGGTTGAACACCTCGGGATTCGACAAGCACTGCTTTAGAGCCCCCTTCTCGGTGCTCCTGGCGGGGATGAGAATGAGAGCAACGACAGGGGAGGACTGGCATAGTGGGGGATGAATCGACCAGGAATCGGCGATACATCGCCGATAGACCGGCGATAGGCCTTTGATAGTGAGTCCGCACCTTCCTGGGCAGGTTGGTGCTATCGGGCCACTATCGGCGATCAATGGGCGATTGGGGGGGCGATGCATCCCCCCTTTGCCTATCCCCCCCTATCGTTGCCCCTGATGAGAGGAAAAGAAGTCGGAAGATGGGGGAAGAGAACGACGATGAGATGAAAATCGCTGGGAGGGCGAACGCCAAAGGTCGCAGCCTGCAAGGTGCTAGGCGTGACGAGAAATAGGCGGAGGCACAGAACAGAGATGGACCTCGGCCTTGATTGGAAGGATTACCATCAATTCTGTTCCACGAGAAACGTTGGGTGCGTAACAACGCCCACTTTGGAACCTCAATTGCGTCTAAATGCACGATAAGCGCAAACGGATGTGGAGGGAAGATCGGCGTCGACAGGACCCCGTGACGTCCTCTGTGCGCGATCCTCGCGTTCCCCCCAATGGAGGAATCCAAGAAAAACCTCGAGCCCCCTCCAAAAAACCAAAGTAGACCTCATCCCAAGGCCTTGAATTAAGTCGGGCGTGTCCCCCTACAGGGGGATTCTGGGCGAACAAAAAACAAATACTAAAAAAATGCCCCCCACATAGGCAAACATAGTAATACAACAAAACAACAAAACGTCCCCAGTCTATTGTTTTCCTATGTTTGAATATTCCTCCTGTAGAAGGACAGGCTCGACTGAAGCTTTGAGCGCAGAAGGAACAGGAGCAGGAGGACGAGATGTTGCCGCTGACGGGCGCCCGAAACGCCTCCAGGTCGACTCCTCTTCCTCCTCCTCCTCCTCCTCCTCCTCCTCCCCTCTGCACTGCAGCGTCGTCGCCGCGCGCGCGTCTGCCCGCGAAGGCGACCGGGCGCAGCCGCGGGGGCCCTGGATGCATAGCTGCTGCATCCTGTGAGGCAAAGCACTTGCAAACGACGACCAGCTTCCAAGACAATCCTCGGCGGCGAGCGAGAGGGGGAAGTGAGAAGGAGAAGGCCTTCTCAGAAGGCTCGGCAGTCCCCCAGCCTTCTGAGAAGTTGTCCAAGACTTCCCCGAAGACACAGACAGCTGCTCAGAAGGCGCGAGGGCCTCTGAGAAGTTCCGCCGCCTTCTGAGAAGGCCTTTTCCTTCTCGCTTCCCTTCCTCGCTCGCCGCCGAGATCCCCCTCCTTCATATCATCCTCCTGGCTCCCTCCTTCTCCCCGCTCGACACCCCCGCCCAAGCAGGCACCACATCACCCATGAAGCAGAAACGATACCCTGGGGCCCCATGGCCCCGCATTGTGCCTCCAGCCTTGGAGCTCGGCTGCTCTTGCCCGAGAAGCCCCAAGACGGCCCAAGAGGCCTCCAAGACGCCCAAGATGGCCTCCAAGACGGCCCTGGAGCACCCCAAGAGGGCCCCAAGTCGGCCCATAGAGGCTCCCAAGACGGCTTCCGACGGCATCAGACGGGCCAGGAACGCCCTAAGACGGCCGAAGAGGCCCCCGAGCTGGCCCCAACGGCCCCCAAAAGGCCCAAGGAGGCTTCCAAGATGCCTCCAAGAGGCTCCCAGGGAGCTCCCAGGAGACCCCAAGAGTACCCCCAGAGACTCCTAACATGCCTCCTCCTCCTCCTCTTGATCTTCCCCGCCATCCTCCCCCAAGTGTTCCCCGAAGACTTTCCACAACGGCTGGGGGAAGACATGGTCCGATAGCTTGGCTGAGCTCTTGCCACAGCACTCGGCCACATGGGCCATTCCAAAAGGCAGGGGGCTGGCGGTGATTCGCCGCAGGCGTCTTCGATATAGTAGCAGTTGCTTGCATACATTCCCCTAACAGCGCTTGCACATAGATGCTCTTCACTGGTTTGGGCGACCCTAAAGGGGGTCCAGCTGAAAAAAGGTGGTGCAATAGATTTGGGGCAATTGTATTGCAAATTCATTGCGCCGGAGAATTGTATTGCATTGGAATGCAAGTAATGTGTTGCTCGCGAAAATCCAACAAGACACTTGCGCCCCGAAGTGTATTGCACGCCCCGAGCGTATTGCACGCCCCACAAACCGATTGCACCAAATCTATTGCACCACCCCCTTGTCGCTGGACCCCCTTTTGGGTCAACCCGAATTGTTTTCTATGGTGACTGGGCCCCCGTGACGGTCTGGCCGGCTCGTCGCCGAACATCGCCGCCCGCCGCCACCTGTCCCAGCTGGCGGTCCGGCCGACTCGTCGCCACCTGTCACAGCGCTGCTTTGCGCTGCTTTGCCTTGTTAGCTTCCGCCCCCTTCCCTGGAGACCAAGACGGCAACAGGCATGCGGCGCGCACGCAGCTAAGAAGCGAGGAGGGGGACACGGGGAGTCTAACTGAGCTTCACCCTTGTGAATCCGAGTTGTTGCAGAGCATGGTATTACTTTGCATCGCACTGCGCTTCATTGCTCCGCATTGCTGAACATTGCTCTGCGTCGTTTTGCATCGCCTGGCATCGCTTTAGACTGCTCCGCATTGCTTTGCATAACTTTGCATGGCCTTGCGTCAGGTTGCGTTGCTATGTATTGCTTGCTTTTCATCAAATTGCACTGCTTTGCGTCATGTTAATTGCATCACATGGATTTCACCACCGACTTTGCACCACATTGATTTCACCAGAAATATTGCAAGGCACCAATGTTGAGGACCCCCTCTGGCCAACATGTTTGGTGTCCTCTCTCTCTCTCTTTATATATATATATATTCTCTCGTTATCTCTCTTCCTCTCTCTGTCAAGCCCTGCTGTCCCCCCCCCAACACACAAATGTTCCAGCCTGGGGGGGGGGCATCGAAGAACTACATCGAAACCCAAACGTGAATCCCTTCTTTCTAGTGTCCCGCAATCTCCGCACGAATTAACACGTGCTGCAGACAGTGAGTGCACGTATGTGCAGGGATACACAATCAGATCTTGCGCGTGGGTACTGTGCGTTCGGGAGGGGGGTAAGGCCCCCCTCGCCCCGACGGGGGGTCAACCTCGCCACGTCGGTGCGCCGCGCTGGGATTAGGTCGGGCGTGTCCTCCTGCGGGCGGATGTTCGACGAAAAATGAAAAGAATACCTTCGACGGAAATTACCCTGTGACGTACCCAACCCATTTGTATCAATGGAAACGAGGAGTTGGCCGAAACTTGTATGGACAATCAACTTGATGTGTAAGCTACTTGGGAGGCGTCACTGTGCTGGGCCCCGCAAGCAGGCCTCGAAAGTGGCGACAGTTTCACAGATCGCAGCCCCCCAGGGATGGCGAGGTCTAATTTGAATCCGCGTCCACTGCGCTGGGCCCCCCAGCAGGCCTCGAAAGTGGCGACAGTTTCACAGATCGCAGCCTCCCAAGGATGGCGAGGTCTAATTTGAGTCCTCGGTGAGTACCCACTGTGCTGGGCCCCCCAGCAGGCCTCGAAAGTGGCGACAGTTTCACAGATCGCAGCCCCCCAGGGATGGCGAGGTCCCATTTGAGTCCGCCGTGGGTACCCACTGTGCTGGGCCCCCCAGCAGCCCTCGAAAGTGGCGACAGTTTCACAGATCGCAGCCCCCCAGGGATGGCGAGGTCCCATTTGAGTCCGCCGTGTGTACCCACTGTGCTGGGCCCCCCAGCAGGCCTCGAAAGTGGCGACAGTTTCACAGATCGCAGCCCCCCAGGGATGGCGAGGTCTAATTTGAGTCCGCCCGTGGGTACCCACTGTGCTGGGCCCCCCAGCAGGCCTCGAAAGTGGCGACAGTTTCACAGATCGCAGCCCCCCAGGGATGGCGAGGTCTAATTTGAATCCGCCGTGGTACCCACTGTGCTGGGCCCCCCAGCAGGCCTCGAAAGTGGCGACAGTTTCACAGATCGCAGCCCCCCAGGGATGGCGAGGTCTAATTTGAGTCCGCCGTGGGTACCCACTGTGCTGGGCCCCCCAGCAGGCCTCGAAAGTGGCGACAGTTTCACAGATCGCAGCCCCCCAGGGATGGCGAGGTCTAATTTGAATCCGCCGTGTGGCCCACTGTGCTGGGCCCCCCAGCAGGCCTCGAAAGTGGCGACAGTTTCACAGATCGCAGCCCCCCAGGGATGGCGAGGTCTAATTTGAATCCGCCGTGGGTACCCACTGTGCTGGGCCCCCCAGCAGGCCTCGAAAGTGGCGACAGTTTCACAGATCGCAGCCCCCCAGGGATGGCGAGGTCTAATTTGGTCCGCCGTGGGTCACTGTGCTGGGCCCCCCAGCAGGCCTCGAAAGTGGCGACAGTTTCACAGATCGCAGCCCCCCAGGATGGCGAGGTCTAAACTGTGCTGGGCCCCCCAGCAGGCCTCGAAAGTGGCGACAGTTTCACAGATCGCAGCCCCCCAGGGATGGCGAGGTCCCATTTGAGTCCGCCGTGGGTACCCACTGCGCTGGCCCCACAGCAGCCCTCGAAAGTGGCGACAGTTTCACAGATCGCAGCCCCCCAGGGATGGCGAGGTCCCATTTGAGTCCGCCGTGTGCACCCACTGTGCTGGGCCCCCCAGCAGCCCTCGAAAGTGGCGACAGTTTCACAGATCGCAGCCCCCCAGGGATGGCGAGGTCCCATTTGAGTCCGCCGTGTGTACCCAATGTGCTGGGCCCCCCAGCAGCCTCGAAAGTGGCGACAGTTTCACAGATCGCAGCCCCCCAGGGATGGCGAGGTCCCATTTGAGTCCGCCGTGTGTACCCACTGTGCTGGGCCCCCCAGCAGGCCTCGAAAGTGGCGACAGTTTCACAGATCGCAGCCCCCCAGGGATGGCGAGGTCACATTTGAATCCGCCGTGTGTACCCACTGTGCTGGGCCCCCCAGCAGGCCTCGAAAGTGGCGACAGTTTCACAGATCGCAGCCCCCCAGCTGGCACACAGCGACGAGCGAGGCAAAAGGCAAGGGGGAAGAGAGGGGCGGGAAGGAGGCAAGGCGACGCGCGAGCAGTGCTCTAACTATTCAAAACGAGAATCCAACGCAGGAGGGTTGGGAAAAAAAGAGTACTCAACATACTCAAAAATTGTCCACATAACGTCCCCAGACTGTTTGTTCGAATATGTTTGAGCACTCCTCTTGTATAGGGACACGCCCGACTGAACGCGAGGAGGTGCAAGGGGCTTCTCAGCTGAGGGACGATGACCTCCCGGCGCGTACACGCCGGCCAGAAGAAGCAGGCAGAAACACGAAGTCAGCGGGCGTTGGAAGTACAATTGGGCTTTCGCCCGCACCCTGAGGAGAGAAGAGGGACAGCCGCTCCACTCTGGAAATACCACTGCAACGACCTTGCAGACGTGCTGCAACGGATTATGGTTTGGATTTCTGTCAATGTGAAACCCAAAACGGCAAGCGAAAAACGACGTGAATTTTAAGCGGATTGTTTTTCAGTCTTCACTCCTGGCCAACGAAATCCGCACGAAATTCCCCTCGCAATCCGGAACGAAATTCTCCAGGACACCCCGGGCCCATCCCATCGTTTTCCGAAAGAAATCCGCCCTGCCAAGAATACTCCAGATTTCGTAATAAAAGTGAGAGGGTCTGGACCCTCCAAGACAAGCCATTTCAGACCTCCCCCGTGGGAGAACCCTCCAAAACATCGTCCCCAGACCCCCCAGGCCCTCCAAGTTAGCCCGGAAGAGACCCCCACCCGAAATGAGACCCCCCTCCCTTTATCACGAAATCTGGAGTACCTACTTTCAACGACCGACGAGTAGCTGGAAACGCGGAGCGTGAATGGTGCGGGCAGCGCGCAGGCCCACAGAGCGATCCGATCTCCGGAGAACTCTCCACTCTGATAGCCCTGCACTGCAAGCGCCCGCATCCTCTTGGCGGCGCGCACAGGGGGGTAGGGGGAGGGGGGAAGGCTTCTTAGAAGGAGGCTGCTTCTTAGAAGGCGCCGGCCTTACATCTACAAAGAAGGCCCGCGCCTTCTAAGAAGCAGGGGTGCTTCTAAGAAGCCTTCCCCCCTCCCCCTACCCCCCTCTGCGCGTGGCCGATCCTCCGCATCGGGTACGATTCCAGTGTTAGAAGAAGAAAACAACACATAAACAGAAACTTCTGGCGCTCCGCGCGGATTGCTTGGATCCGCGCTGGACCCCCCTCCCTGGCGCGCGGAACGCGCCAGGGGCGGCGCCGGAGATGCCGCCGGGGGGGGGCCCAGCGCAGATCCAAGAAATCCGCGCGGAGCGCCAAAAGTTTATGATTATGGCATTTCTTCTTCTTCTTCGATGAGAGGGGGGGTGATGATGATGATGATGATGATGATGATGATGATGATGATGATGATGATGATGATGAGGATGAGGATGAGGATGAGGATGATGATGATGATGATGATGATGATGATGATGATGATGATGATGATGATGATGATGATGATGATGATGATGATGATGATGATGATGATTCGAAGTGTGTCTGTTTTTTCGAAGTGTGTATGTTGTTTTCCTATTCTTCGAAGTGTGTCTGCATTCCCCCACACACTGCAGCCGGACCTGGGCCAGAACAGGAGGCCCTCCGTCGGCAAGAGCAAGCGGAGCCCCCAAGAGTGCCCATCCCCAGGCTGCACAGTGGCATCCCGCGAGCACGAAAAACGTCAGGGCACCCTCCCCGGACTGGCCTCGATCCCGAACCCCGGTCCGACTGGAGCACCGTCCACGCATCACGCGGCGTCACCGCGGTGAATCAAGGGGTAGGGAGGCGTGACGGCGGCAAGAACTCTACCCAGAGGCGTGCGAAGCAGGGGTCACTGTCCACAAGCGCCGTTTGCCCCCCAAGCAGGAGGGGGCATCCTCGCGCCGAACTCGATCATGCGCTGCACGATGTAGTTGCCGTACTTGTCGTCCATAATCTGGTAGAGCGGACACTCCCCACCTGTGGCAGCTTGGCACGAGGCACTGGGTGCGCTCAGGGAAGCACAAACAAACAGACAAGGATCCAAGGATCCCCAATCTGTCTGGACATTTGCTGGAGTCTCGTCTTCCCCTCAATCGCCCATGTGTTCCCAAGTGCCCTTGGAGATTGCGCTTACATTTGTGCCTGTGGCTACTTTTCTCCAAGTCGGAATCCAACATCGAATCAAAATTGGAATCGGAAGCCATCGACATCGAATCGACTCGAATCGGAAAATGGGGAAACGAGCAGGTGCCGCTACAGCTGCTCCACGGACCTCTCCTGGGGTGCCTTCTGACCAGAATCTCGGGGCGAATCCAGCGGTGGCGACGAGGGCCTCCCGGGAGGCCCTGCAAGGGGGAAGACGGGGGCCGGTGGCGCCGCCAGGGCCCCATCGCCGATCCGAGAAATCCGCGCGGACCTCCGAGTTTTTATGTTCATGTCATTCCTCGTTCCCCTAGATATGGGTCACGTTTCCTCCTCCGCCCAGATCGAAACGAACAACTCGGCAAAATCGAAACGCGCCCTGCAAAACCGCGCGGGCGCTGCGCGTCCTCTGCCGTTCCTCCCTCCCTGCGGCCGGCTCCTGCTGCGGCGACGCGCCCCCTGGTTTTTTGTTGACGCAGCGCGGGCCCATACATCGAAGGGGCCCAGGGTGCCTGCCCTTCTACAGGAGGATTTTGGACGAAAAAGATCAAACAGTCGAAAAATAAACCAAACAAATCAAAACTAGTCGAAAACATGGTTCCCAGGCTATGTTTGGACAACCTTAAAATATACCTCCTGTAGAGGGACATGCCCGACTTGGAACCAGGGGCACACAGACAGACAGACACACATCCCAGATGCCCAACATTTTTAGAGATCTTCTGGAGTCTGGTCTTCTCCCCTGCTTCCCTCACTCTCCCAGGTTTCTCTGGAACTCGACGGCAATTTTCTGTCTGTGCCTATTTCTCACTCCTGATCAATATTTAGCGATCTTCGCTACAGTGGGGGCCCGACCATAAGAAACCTTAGCATGAAACCCAACCCCGAGACCCCAGGACGTCCATAGGTTTTTGGTGTGGGAACGTCGCGCCCTCCGTCAGACAATCATTGAAGCCCAAGAAACCCAGGGCACCCTGGAGGCAAGCAGGGGGTTTGGGCGCCAACGCTGGCGCAGCCGCCACGTCGACGCGACGCCAACCTTCCGCATATCTCTCCTCCTCCTCCTCCTCCTCCTCAATCCTCCTCCTCCTACTCCTCCTCCTCCTCCTCCTACTCCTCAATCCTCCTCCTCCTCCTCAATCCTCTTTCTCTTCCTCCTCCTCGTCAATCCTCCTCCCCCCCCTGCTCCACAATTACTCAATATGAAAATACTCTCCCTCTTCCCCTGATGGCGTCCGGGTGATGGCCGCGCACCCTCCGCGTACTGTTTTTTTTACACACAGGATTCCCGGGAAATCCCGGGAAACGACTCTCGCTGAGGCGCCGGCCTCATTTCTGCTCCCGAATCGTTCCGAATCGTGCTCCCGCTGCAGCGTGGGCCTCATTTTCGGATCGGTGTTTGGCCTCCGTCGTTCAGGATGGCGTTCTCGCCCCAGCGCGGGCCTTTTTCTCGCGCGCCCATCCGCCCGCCACCACCGCGCCGCACCGCCACCACCACCACCACCACCACCACCACCACCACCACCACAACCACCACCAGCACCAGCACCAGCACCCACCACCACCACCAGCACCAGCACCCACCAGCACCACCACCATCACCACCACCACCACCACCACCACACCACCACCACCACCACCACCACGACAACCACGCACACACGCACGCACGCACGCACGTGCACCACCACCCACTACGCACGCGCGCGCGGAGCCACAGGTCCGCTACGACACGCGTCCGCGGATAGAGAAAATCAGCGCCATGGTAAGGGATGGGAGGGAGGGGTAGGACGTCAGATATGACGCGAGCGCACCTAGCTTGTCCTTCTCCCCCTCCTCCCCCTCCTCGTCCTCCCCAGGGCTGAGAAACGGTAAAAGCTGAGTCCCCGAAGGGCGTCGAATAACGATGCCCGCCGCCGATGCGAAGGGGGGGAGAAAGGGAGAGAGGGAGAGAGACGAGATCACAAACAAAAACAACAATTGAACAAAACCATACCGAAGGAAGGATGGAATACACCATACAGAGTGAACGAAAGACACGTCCGATCAAACAGGAAATACATTCAAAGGCTAGCCTGCATAGGTAGCCGTAGAGCTTCGGCAAACGCAAGGTGCTATAGTCCCCCCGCACCTCACATCCCGGCCTCCCTGTCGTACTACCCCCCCCCAAAAAAAATGTGCAACACAACAATGGCAACACTTCGTTGCGACACGATCTCAGAAGGCAACGGCACGGAAAGCAACCAAACGCGACGCAACGAAACATCCGAGACCACAAACCTCTTCGCGACAGGGCACTGCGCAAGGAGTGCGCCCGGACGCCCTCGACGCGCTCCGACAAGCGCCGGGGAATTCGAGCTGGCCCGCCCGCACGGGCAGCCCATCGGACCTTCGACACGCCGGCAAGCTGCAGCGTCCGGTCGGACTCAACCAAAGCCGATCATGACGGCACCGATACTCCAAATCCCTTATTCATCGACCCCCCCTTAAAAACCAGACCCCCCTCAAAATGCGACCTAGTATTCCGGACCCCCCTCTTCGACGGGGCGACCGGACCCCCCCAGTTACAAAAAAGGCGCCTTAAAAACGGCACCGATATGGGACGCACAGAGACATACTAATACGATGTGTCCTCCTTGGAGGTGCGCGACCGACCCGAACCTATAGTATACCCATCTTGTAGTACATCGTTTCCCGAGCGGTGCGGCCAGAAAGCGCCAGCCACGAAGCATATACTATAAGATTTCTCGGTGCGCGCGTCGCCCCTGACGGGGCGGGGGAGACGCACCTATAATAGAAGTGTGTTGGGGTGACGCCGACGATAGACTGGGGCCGACCCGGGACCTCCGGCCACGACGAGCGCACAGGCGGCTGCTCGACGGACCTTCGGCGGACACGCGGCCACACTTCACTGCGACGCGTGACCTGCGGGCAACCACCCACGCATAGACCCATGCCCTCTCTTGGCGGTGGACAGACCTCTCTGTAGCAAACCTCCATTTAGTGAAAACGCCCTAGGACCAAAACCGACGGACTTGGACCCGCAAAACTGACGGCCGCGACGCCCTCTTGCGAACCGACAACGGCCAATTCGCTAATCGACGTGTCAGGGTACCTCCTATATGAACCTCCGACTCTCGCGCTTCGCCGCCGCACGATCGCCACAAACAGGCGGCATCAGTTGCGCGCGACGCCTGGCAAGCAAACTCCCGTATGTGGATTCCGACAGCGCCAACCTATTTGAAAACAAAAAATACCCGCCACCCACGCACGCACACGCCACGCACGCAAGCACCCGCAACACACACATACATACCCATCCCACAAGAAAGGGGCGGAGAAGGAAAAAGAGGGGGCGTACTTTAATCAGAGTTTGCCTCTGTAAGGGGTCCTCGCGGATACATATGGTTAGGTTCAGTTTGCCGCCGATTTTCGCCGCACGCCCGGGTGCCCGGGTGCCCAAGGGTGCCCGGGTGCCCGGGCGTGCCCAAGGGTGCCCGGTGGTGCCCTATGGCCCTATAGCCCTTTATCTCTATAGCCCAATAGCCCCCTAGCCCTATAGCCCTGATTGGGGATTCTCTCCGTTACCATTGTCAGCCAGTCGGTCCGATCCGTGTGTCAGATGGGCCAGAGGAGTGCGGCGCACTTAGCGCGCCATTCATAATGAACGCACAGCCTGCTTCCAGTCGCGAGCTGGGAGTGTGCATGACTGGCAAACTAAAACCGCAAGACACAAGACTGGCACATACGTCGCTCGCAAATGTGTGCAACTTGGCGGGCCATGTTTGTCGAGGTCTGAATCTCTTCCGCTTCGAACAAATGCGTGCGTCGACGTCGCCCCATGGTTGCCCAGTGTTGCATCCCAGGCGAACGCCACGTTACAGGGGGTGGCCGATGCACTGGCCGATGCCCTGAAACGATGCTACGAGATAGAACGCTGCTCGCGAAGGCGACGCGAGAGCCCGCCTTGAAACTGCAGGTGATCCGCGCCGATTACTCCCCCCTTCTCATCATCACCCTGCACTTCCTCATTCTCGTTGGAAGTGAAAGCGTCTGCACTAGCGAAGGGCATCGGGTGACGCGGAAGACTACAGTAACCCTTAACGGGCGATAGTAAGTCCCAGGGATAATAAAGTTCGCAGTTCCTGCGGGGATAATAAAAGAATTGTCCCGGGGAAGGAACATTAGGATGGTGATGATGACGACAATGGAGGAGGAGGAGGAGGTGGTTAAACCAGGCGCACGACAGAAGCCCGACTCGAGGGATCTCTCGGCTCGCGGCCACGTGCCCGCAGGAGCGCACTACGCAGACATTACTCGAGAGATCTCGCGGTTCGCGGCTACTTGCCCGCAGAGGCGCAGAAAACAAGGCTGACTCGACCGATCTCGAGGCTCGTGGCTGGGCGCCTAGAGTCTGCCAGCGCACAGGAGGTCCTTGGCCGATCTGGCCAAGAAACCCCTCTTGCGCTGGACTTCGAACCACTCCCCCACGCAAGCGCGGCATCCTTTGAAGCCGTCCTTGCATGGGAGACACGTTGTGCAAAGCTGGGCGGCGGCGCTAGCCTCCTCGTAGGTGGCGTACTTCGGCTCGGCCGCCGTGGGGTCCTTGCAAGGGTTGGACTTGTGCTTGGCCTTGGCCTTGGCCTTGGCCATCGCCACGTCGTGGTCGCTCGCCTCCTTGGTTCGACTGATGAACTCGTTTCCTCGAGCGACCACGGCGTGGAGAGCTGCAGGCACATGGCGGCCCTCGCGTCGGATCTCGCGCAAGGCGAGCTCGATCCAGCGACTTGCCCAGAGGCCGCAGCCCCAACCGTCTACTTGGCACCGTCTGTCGC